ATAGCAAACACTGAAATGTGCTCTAAGTTGGGAGCGTCGGGGGTCTTCGGGCTCGCGGACTGAGTCCGCGAGGGTCGTCTGCTGATATAGCAAACACTGACATCTTTCCGTAGAATTTTTACAACGAGTTTCGGCTCCCTGTTTGGACATTGGCCCTTCCATAGTGAGTACAGGATCCGTCCGTGTATATAGTCAAGTGCTCATTTTCTAGGTTAACACCTGCAGCAGGTTGTTCCAGTCAGTATGCGGGGTATGGGGAGATTTTCCTGGGATCCAGGAAGACCCGGAAGCAGTCCGCTAGGGATGTCTTGGTCATCAGGGAGGGGTTGACCATGATGCCCACTCGGGATGTGCGGGCTTGTCTGTTCTTCTCGAGCCGATGATGAGTGAGCGTAAGGTCATCATGCGGGGGCAGTGGAATGGGTTCATCTTGTCACACAGGTGCTGGAGGATTCTCTGGGCCGTCATTGCACATTGATGTGGGTTGGTACACCCGTCCCTCCAATCTGCATGGCACGCCCGGCAGCCACAGTTGGAGCGGGGCTGGTGTGCGCGGTCTGTGACTCGGCCTGCCAGCCTGTTGGAGAGTCGAGTTAGATGGTCAACAGTGCGTAGTTCGTGGTTGTGTATCAGGCAGGTTATTTTTGTGGACACGTATGTTCGAGGTGGGGTGCCAAGCAGGTAGTAGGCTGGGAGCTGGGCTTTCAGGGAGGCAGACAGTTTTGCCGGTGCAAAGGCGACACCATACTTGCGAGCAGTCTTTAGCATGCTGAGTACGTCAGTTGGTAGGGTCACTGCTCTCTTCCCTTGTCCAGGGACAGCCCACGTCTGGAGGAAGGTGTTGAAGAGTGCTTCGGTTGCAATTCCATCTGGCGCAAGGGTGTTGATAAGGGCATCCACAACGAAAGCCCAGTCAGGGCGTGTGGGGCTAAGGTCAAGGTAGGTGCGCAGCCAGGTGAGCTCAATCGCGTCATTCCGGGCATTTATGTTTAGCAGGTCCAGCCCACCCTTTTCTTTTGGAAGGTACAGCTGGGCGAGAGCAACAGGCAGGTTAGATGCAGCCTCTTCCCAGATGAAGGACTGCAGGAGTTTTTCAAGGGTGGTGACGATGTATGGTGGCATACCTTGTACCTTGGTGAGGTATTGGGTCATACCCCCGAATGTTTGCTGTACCATATGTGCTTTGCTGAAGAGGGTGGGGTGGCCTTTCAGCAGGTGGGTGAGTCGTTGTGCAATCTTGTCCAGGATTGCTTCCCAGGGTGCTGCAGCATCGGTTTTGTTGCCTATCCATGCACCGAGGGAGCGCACTGCTTCGTTGTCTCGTGCAATGTGGATCGTCTGTGGTATTGGGGGGTCTGCCGGGTGTAGTTGGTGAGTTGCAACAACGGTCAGTCAGTGCAGTTCGGAGCCAATGGGTATGATTTCTGTTTTATCCTTGTTAAACTGTGCTCCAGATGCTCTACACCAGAGTGAGAGGGCTTCACTGAGATTGTGGAACCGAGCATTTTTCGGTAGGTAGATGGTTGTGTCATCAGCGAAAAGAGTTAGCCTGACCTCCTCAAGCAGCCGGGGTACTGAGAACCCACTCAGGCTGGGTGAGGAGCGAATTAGGCAGGCAAGCAGCTCAATGGCAATGTCAAACAGCAGGCATGATAGTGGGTCGCCTTGTCATACCCCACGTGTCACTTTGTAGCGGGAGCTTAAGGTACCATTGATCATTACTGTTGTGTACACAGATTCATATAGGGCTTGAACAGTATGAGTGAACATATATGGCAGGCTGAGGCACTGTAGGGTCTTCCAGAGGTAAGGATGTTCAATTTTGTCATAGGCTTTTTCTTGGTCTAGTGCAATGATGGTGCCGTCGTGCTCCATGGCTTCTGCAAAGTTGATCATTACTTTGGACAGGCGTATTTGGTCAAAAAATGGAGCGGCCTGGCGCCAATCACAGTGGGCAAGGACCGGTGTCCCGCCACCGGTCATTCATCTTTCACGGCAAGGGTGGGAGAACACTTTCCTAGGATACTCCATAGCGGAACATGATACAGACATAAAGAATGAAAGGACAATGTTGATTAACTGTCCCCTGATTTTTATGGACCATAGTAAATGTCCCCCAGACTTTTCTTTGTTCACTCAAAGGACATTCTTCATGTCCAGCTTATGGTCCAGCAAGGACCATTCTAGGAAAGTGTTCTCCCATCAGAGAGATGTTCCTGGCATGCCCGCCGGCGGGACATCGGTCTCTGCCCGCAGTGAATCCCGCTTAGGGTGGACTAAGGTGTGTACGTGATCTGCCAGCTGGAGTGCTAGGGCTTTGGTCATGATCTTATAGTCTGTGTTAAGGAGGGTGATGGGCTGGTAGTTCACTACCTCCATTCGGGCTTTTTTCTTGAAGATTGGACACATCCAGCCCAGTGCAAAGTCAGTTCCTGCTCAGATGCCATGCTCCTGAATGTTGACAAAGACTTTAGTCATGAGTTGGATGACATTAAATGATGGCGTGTGTCGCTGATTTTTCTTAGAGGACTTATGGCGGGTCTCCAGCAGTCTCCATATTTCATATGGGATTCCATCCATGCCTGGGGCAGAGCCAGCTTTTGAGAGGTGCAGGGCATCTGCCACCTGGAATTCAGTGAGTACGTTTGACAGTTCCGGAGTTTCACTGTGCAGAGTTTGGTGAGCCGGGATGTTGTCCAGGACTGTTGCAATTGCTATGTTGATGGACGCTGGGTTGTGCTGGTCCCTCCCTGCATGCTGCAGTTTCTCATGGTAGTCCCTAGTGAGTTCAGCCATTTTGTCAGACCTAGTGATATACACTTTCAGGGACAAGCCCGGAACTGCGAGGCGCAGTATTATATCTCTGGGTTTCTTAGGTGTGGTGACTCTGAACAGGTATCGTGATGGAGATTCTCCATCCAGCGACCACTTCGCTTGCCCATGCACTTGGGCTTTCGCATAGCACTTCTTCAACAAGTGGTTTAACTCACTTTCTAGTATGGCAGTGTTGGTGCGTGCATCCTCCGAGATGTCCATTAGTGGGGAGTTGGCAGCCTGGTTCAGATCGTGCTGGAGGGCGTGGATACAGTTAGAGATTTTGGCCAGGGTATGTTTTGCATGTTGCTTTGCGAGTTGACAGCTGCACATCTTCAATTCCTCCCACAGCAGTTGTATCACTGTCTTGTCCTCTGGGTTGCTGCCCAGTGAGTCTGCACGTCTTTCTATTTTGCATCCAATTTCCATGATGCCTTGGAGTAGGTCTTTATCATGGATCATGCCAGCGGGCCATGCCCATTGTCCTGGCCCAATGTACGGTGCATTTAGTGGGGCATACCGTACCGAGACCATGTTATGGTCGGTAGGGACGACGGTGGGCCCCATATACCATTCCAATAAGTTTGGGACGTGGTGGGCTTGTGAGTATATCCTGTCAATGCGAGAGAACCGATTCAAGCTGCTGTAGAAGGTATAGCTGCGTTCAGTGAGGTTGTCAGTTCGCCATGCATCTACTAGATGTTGCGTCAGGTGCATGTCGCACAGGGCATCGGTGGGTGGCAGTGGGTCGGCATGTGGCGGTGAGCGGTCTATGGGATCTTCAACCAGGTTGAAGTCTCCTAACATGAAGTCTGGCTTTGGTAGGCACTGCTCATCCCATATGGCCTGTAGTCGTTCCCAGAAATCTCTCTGTTCGCCATAGTCATTTGGGGCATAGATGTTCAGGATGGATATGGTATCTATGTTGTGCCACGTCGTGGTGAGGAGGAGTGCTCCGCCCAGTATGAGCTCTTTGACTGTGACATTGCTGGTGTTAGTGATTTCACAGTTTAGTACAAAGGCAAGGCCCACTGAGGCTGTGGGCCTTTCACTGTCAGCAGTGTTGTAGACTTGGATACGTCTGCCATAGAGGTCCTGGATGTCATTCAGCATGGCATCATTCAGGTGGGTTTCCTGAAGGGCTAGGATTCCAATGCGTGTATCTCTTACTAGGGCGTTCACACTTGTCCACTTGGACATGGGGCTTGGGCCTGCCGCAGGAGAGTGCCGGCCCCTTATGTTCAGGGATGCTAGGGTGATGTGCGCACACATGTTACGGCTAGCGCGATTGGCTGGTCGTCTATTGTGGGTCTGCTCCCATTTGTCTGCATGCTCCATCTGAGCTGGCCTTCGTCTAGGCTGAGTCTGGGTCTCCGCATCGGCAGATCCGCCACCATTCTCCACAGGGGTGTCATCGTGGGTGGCTCGGGCAGTTGGCTCCCCACCCACTTGACCCGCAGGGAGGTGTAAGCCATTACCGAGTGTTGAACCAGCCAGTGTGTGTTGTGAGTGTGGATTGTTAGGTGCCAAAGTATCACACCAGGCGTGCAAAAATAGGCCTGGGTAGAGTGGGCAAGGACCAGCCCACCTCGGTGGACTATGCTAGGGCGTTCGCAGGCCATCCCCCCTGGTGAGGAGGGCTTGGTACTACCCGTCGCTTCAGTGTCTCCGCATGGCACGTCCGGACCTAAATAGGTCACCGTAGGCGCACTGCCAGTCATCGAGGTGCAGTCCTACACCGCTTTCCTGTCCCGCATGCAGTCAGTAGATGTGGGCCAGTAGGTGCGAGACGGTCAGGCACCTCAGCTGACATGCCTCAGGGCATAGTCTCTGTGTCGTGCTAGGTGGCACAGAGGGCAGTTGTCATTGGTCATACCTACGTAGAGTGCAGGGTAGATACATGTATTGTCTACGCATACGCTTTACAGTCATTTTATCTACTGGTGCTTACAGAGTAAATGCACAGTAAAAGGAGGCTGGGAAGGGGAAAGCAAAATGGCGTCCTTGAGCAGTACAGTGCCATATCAGGGGGTAGGGGAAGTAAGGGCGTACAATGGAAATACATTCATATATGTTTAGTGAGCCTGCACGGCTCTTTTCGTGGCCCAGATCAAAGCTGTCTCAGTAGCCATGTCCACGTCCACAGCCCCGCCCGTGTCCATCACGGCCGGCAGGGCCGCCTCTATCTCCCGAGGTGAAACCAAACTTCTGGAGCTTGCCGGGGGCGAAGGCCTTGCAGAGTGCGTGGAGCTCGCTGGAGCAGGGCGGGGGCATGTGTCACTTCAGGCCTATAATGTCACTGTTGGGTCCCAGCCAGCCAGGGAGCGCAGGTAGGGGGCAGAGGCTGCTAGAGTGCGATGTGCACCCGCAGATGGCGCACGGGCAGGGGAAGAAGGGGACACCTACTCCATCGTCGAGGTGGGGGTATTGCAGCAGCGCCAGCTCACGGCGGAAGCGGACCCATTGCTCGAGTGTGTTGAACAGGTCGTCTTCAAGGAAAAGGAGCCAGAGGATAGAGTCACCGCTGGAGGCTTTTTGGACGAGGGGGCAGACAGTGAGGCAGTCAAGGACATACAGCATTTGGTTGTAGGCAACGAGCTCATTATCGGCCTGCATATCTTCCTGGAGTATGTGGGCGAGGGTGAACATTGTTGAACTAGGTGCTGACTTAGCTGCCAGGTTCTACAATGTACCAGAACTGTCTGGAACATGGGTCAGTGACATCATAGGTGGAGCTCAGTAGGATTAGGGATATTCCACGTAGCTTAGTCAGCCTATGGGCCACAGTGTATATAAACCCTGCAGCTCTGCTGCCTAATGACAAGGGGTCATTTATACGAGCTTTACCAGTAGCTACAGCATCCAAGCAATACAGGTGAGTTGTGTAGGGCGCACTGTGTGTGCTGCTGCCTCCATAACTCTTCATCAAACATGATGTCAGGTTCCTGGAGGCATCCACGTACAGTGTATAGGACGGACTCAACAGTGGCATGGGTCACGAAGCCGATGATGGGGAGGAGGAGGGTGGGTGTGCGCAGCTCATGCATGTCCAGGAGGTGGAAGAAGAGGAAGGAGATCCTTGTGAAGGACCAGACCCTCTTGGATAGTAGGCGATGACCGAGGGGTTCTGGGACCTGGACAAGCCACACCATCGGCAGCTGCTCGTTCAGGTCAGCTGCGATGGGCTGCATGATACGTATGCTGGCACAGGTGGGGTTGGCGGGGCCATTTAATGCGATAAGGACCTGTGCTAGGGCACTGCTGACAATTTTATCAGCTAGAGTGGGGACACAGGCATCACAGTTTGCGGGGCGTAGGAGGAGCTTCACGGAGCCTGCCTCAGGCTCGGTTTCAAACCAGCGGTTGATCTGCGCTTGGAGGAGGTTGTCGTACAGAGCAGTCCGGTGGGGCTGGTGCATCCTGGCGAAGCCCCCCGTGGGCGGAGGAGTGCTGGTGTGCTCGGCAGGTGGGCCAGGTGCCTGCACTGGGGTCACTGCCGGGGTTGGGTCATTCAGCTGGCCCTTTGTGATACGGCCAAGGGCTGAGAAGCGGGTCATGCGGCGTGCAGCTTGTTCTGCGGCCTGAGGGCGCAGGAGCATTAGCAGGGTGCACTTGTTTCAGAGCAGCAGGCTTACTGAGCGCTCTGGTGTGTCATCGTCTACAACAATCAGCACTTCGGGAGATGGGGTCTCGGAGCGGCTCTGCGGTGTCCGGGCTTCGTATTCGCACCTCTTACGGTAGTGATAATGCATAGCAGATGCATTGCAATGACAAAATGTATTACATTACCCAGGCATTGTGATGAGGGTGTAATGCATTATGCTCTGCAGGCCCGAGAGGTGCCAGCTGGGTTTGAACCTGGCTGCCCCGGCATCCCGGCTTGATGACTGGGATCGGGGATGGATCTGTATCCCCGGGGAAAGGTCCAGGGGGCTATTAATAGCAGATCCTCTAATTCTGCAGCTGCAGGGCCCGGAAAAATCCGAAAAATGGCGGAAAAATAGGAATATGTTGCTGAGCCTAGGTTCCACATTATTAGAGCTATAAATAGCATGGAGCGTCCACAGGTACCCACAGGGCAGTAATTTGCAGCTCATATAAAATGGGAAGAAATGCTGAAAAATCAAGGAAAAATCAGGTGATCCCCGGAGCACCACAAGCTCACTATGGCATCACTACATTATGTAATGGGTTACCAAATATGGGAATGGGCATGTGGTACACCTTCAGAATTCAAATTTTGCTCTCATTATGATTCTGGGGTCTATTTCTGCTGGTCTTGTGACTGTTGTAGCACATGGTCCTGATGGGGAACTTGTACCTGTAGTATGTACATTGTACTGGCTGTCTATTGAGTCAAAGG